GACTCCCAGGACCCCTGACCGGAGACCCCCCGGGACCCCCGCCAATCCCCGACCCCCGGGACTCCCGGTACCGGAGACCCCTGGAACCCCGGTCCCGGCAATCCCCGACCCCCGGGACTCCCGGTACCGCACACACCCCCGGGACCCACCCGCACCTCCGCGCCCCGGAACCGGAAGTTCCCGTGAAACACGCGGCCGTCCGGTACCGGCAGTGACGTCATCCGGGCGCGCCGCGGCGGGAACTCGGCGGCGCCGGGCGCGGCGGCGGCGGGGGCTCCGTGACGCGACCAATGACGTCATCATGACGCAATTCCCGGTGTCCCGGTGACGTCACGGGTACGGGGGGTGAGTGCCGCCGTGCGGGACGCGGGGGGGGTGGTGGTGGTGGTGTAACAGCCGCGTGACGTCATGGCGGGACGCGTTCGGGCGTGACGTCACTGCGCGGTGACGTCACGCGGGTGGCGAATGGCGGGGCAGGGCCGGGGAGGGGTGAGAGTGGAGGTGGAACAAATTTTTGGAGTTATTTTAAGTTAACGGAATGAATGAAGCGTTTAAATGCTAGCTTGTAGAGTTAAGTGTTGGATTTTAACCTTTTGCTTAAGAAACCCCCGCCGTGGTGCAAAGGGCGTGAAAAAATGCAGATTTCTGAAGCTTCTTGCATAAAGAGCAACGCCAGAAAAATACAGAATACCAGAATCCAATACCAAAATATACAAAGAACCCAGATCAAGGTACTCAGATTAGCACCAAAAGCACAGGAGAGTCCCAAAGTTCACCCATGAAGAAGACCTCGATCTTCAGCCTCAAGAGACCACCAGGGACCCCCGCAGGACCACCACGGCAAACCACGCCTGCCTAAATAGGGCCTGGGATTATTTAGCATGAGAGGCAAGGACAGGTTGGGCCAGGGGTTGAATATGCATAAAAAAGTTGTGCAATGTACTGCATACGGAACGCCTTTGTGAATAAAGGTGTGGGTCAGACTGAGGCTCCGGGCACACGGTTTTGGGGAGATACCTCACCTGTGCCAGGCACTGACAACACATCCTGTCAAAGCCCACCCGAGGTAAGGGGTGGCTCCATGTGGTGGAAAACTTCTCCAATCTGTGCTTCCAAAAAAACTCAGCAATCTCTGTTGTTTGGTCTCAGGCACTTCATTGCTAATTATCTAGAAGATTTTCTCCTTGGGCTGCTGTGGTTTGCTCACAGCTCAGGCAGAGGCACACACACACCCTGACATCCTCTCTCACCCCGACTGCTTCTTCTCTCCCCGCCCAGGGCTGCCGCTCTCTTTTATATGGGACATTACAGGTTAAATTTTTATAGTTTTTCCCCAATTTTACCTATATTAAATGGTGCTTTTCTACTCTAAACCAATCTGTGAGTGCCAACATCACCAAGAACATGGAGGTGAGGAAGGAGAAAGAGGGAGGACAGGGCAGGCCCAAATTCCTCCATCTTAAAACCTCTGACCCCCATGTACAAAACCAAAACCCCCCTGTACAGCACTCAAAAATTCTTCCCTTTACTTTGTTACTACTTTTACTCTAATATCTAAACTTTTGTGATTTCTTGTTCTTCCTGCAAGGTTGGTGAATCATTTCATGGTTCAAACCCAAAATCACAGCTGTTTCCAGCTGTGCCAGGGTCTCAAATGCTTCTGACCTGGAACATCCAAAAATGCCCGAGGGACATTCTGAGTTCCCACACATGGCCACTCCAGCAGTGCCCCAGGCTGTGGATTTATTCCGTGTGTCATTTCCCCAGGGTGGCCTCACAGGGCAGGGCCATGGCAGCCGCCCCCCAGGGCACCCCCCAGGGCACCCCCCGGCCGTGCCCGGAGCAGCGCCGAGCCGCCCACATCGTCCAGCTGCTGACGCTCTACCGGCCCCTGCTCGACGCCTTCGTCATCGTGAGTGTGCCAGGGCTGTGCCCCCTAAGCTGTGACCCCCAAATTGTTCCCCCCGAGATGTGCCCCCCAAGCTGTAAACTCCCTGGGCTGTGCCCCTGAGCTGTGACCCCGAGCTGTGACCCTGAGCTGTGACCCCCTGAGCTGTGACCCCCAGGCTGTGCCCCCAAAGTTATGCCCCTGAGCTGTGTCCCTGAGCTGTGATCCCCTGATCTGTGACTCTCTGAGCTGTGACCCCCCGGGCTGTGCCCCCTGAGCTGTGACCCCCAAGTTGTTCCCCCTGGGCTGTGACCCCTGAGCTGTGCCCTGGGCTGTGCCCCCCAGGCTGTGCCCCTGAGCTGTGACTCTCTGAGCCGTGCCCCCCAACTCTGCCCCCCAAGCCGTGCCCCCCTCTTGCTGCGTTCCCCACGCTGACCCCGCTGCTCCCCGCAGGATTTCTTCACCGAGGACCTGTGGGCACAGCTGCCGCCAGCCTGGCAGCCCGCCCTGGCCGGTGCCAGCCCGGTGCAGCTGGCCGGGCTGCTGGGGGGCGGCGCGGGGGGCGCGGGGGCCGCCTGGCCCCTGTCCCTGCTGGCCTTCGCCGCCGCTGCCCGCGCCCTGGCCCTGCCCCGGCGCCGCGCCCGCGGGCCCCCGCGCCCCCCGTGCCAGAGCTGCCGGCTGCACCCGCTGCTCCGCCGCCACGTCAAGCCCAAAAAGCAGCACGAGATCCAGCTCCTGGGCGAGGTGGGTGCCCCTCCCTGCGCCCCGAGACCCCCACAGCCACCCCCCAAGACCCCCTAAGAGCCGCCCTCGCCCACAGCTGCTGCGCCGGCTGAGCCGCGCCACCGGCTGCCAGCGCGTGGTGGACGTCGGAGCGGGGCAGGTAAGAGCTGGGGGGCACCGAGGGGTGCCGGGGTGTCCCCCCCAGCCCAGCTGAGTTCCTGTCCCCCCACAGGGCCACCTGTCCCGGTTCCTGGCCTTTGGGCTGGGCATGGAGGTCACCGCAGTGGAGAGCGACGCCCGCCTGGCGGGCCTGGCCCAGCGCTTTGACCAGGAGCTGCTGCGGGAGCTGGGCAAAGCCAGGGGGTCCCAGCCGTGCCCCCTGACCCCCCGCGCCCCCCAGCACCTGGCCGGCCGCCTGGACCCCGCAGCCCCCTGGGGGGAGTTCCTGCTGCCCCCCGAGCCGCCGGGAGCCGGCCCCGCTGCCCGGAACCCGCTGGGGGGCCCGGGGGGCTCCGAGGACGGGGGGCGGGTGCTGCTGACGGGGCTCCACGCCTGCGGGGACCTCGGCCCGGCCCTGCTGTGCCACTTCGCCCGCAGCCCCGCCGTGGCTGCCGTGGCCTTGGTGGGCTGCTGCTACATGAAGCTGTCGACCGCCCCGCAGCAGCCCCCTGGCTACCCCCTGAGCGCCTCGGTGGCGGCGTTACCGGGCCACCAGCTGTCCTACCGGGCACGGGAGGCGGCGTGCCACGCGCTGGAGGAGTTCGAGGGGCGGCTGCTCGGGGGCAGTGCCCACCTGCGTGCCCACTGCTACCGCGCCGTGCTCGAGAGCCTGATCCGCGCCGCCGACCCCGCCAAGAGGCACCTGGGCCTGCAGCCGGGCAGGAAGGCTCATGGCCTCAGCTTCCCCCAGTGAGTTTGGGCAGGGGGATCCCCTCCTGCATCCCCCCTGGTGCTCCCCAGGGAGTTTTGGGGGAGATCTGCTGGCGCTGCCCGAGTTTGGGGGTGGAGGAGCCGTTTCTGGGATGTCTGCTAGCCCCCCATGAGTTTGGGGAGAGAGGACCCTTTACTGGAGTTCTCCTTGTGAGTTTAGGGAGTGGGGACACCCTCCTGGCCCTGCAGTGAGTCTGGGGAGAGGGAACCCCCTTTTGGGACCCTCTTCATGACTGTGGGGAACGGGGTCAACCTCCTGTGTCAGTGAATTTGGGGAGGGGGAACCCCCTTTTGGGACCCTCTGTGAGTGTGGGGAATGGGTTCAACCTCCTGTGTCCATCCTGGCCCTGCAGTGAATTTGGGGAGGGGGAGCCCCCTTTTGGGACCCTCTTCTTGACTGTGGGGAATGGGATCAACCTCCTGTGCCCCTCCTGGCCCCGCAGTGAGACTGGGGAGGGGTAGAACTCCCTTCTGGGACTCTCCTCAGGAATTTGGGGATGGGGGGTCCTGCCTGGGACTCCCTGCCCTCTTTTATGACAGATACGCCCAGCTGGGGCTGCCCCTGGCAGGGCTGGACCCAGCAGAGTTCCAGCTGGACTCGGAGGCTGTGGGGGCCATGCTGGAGCAGCAGCACAAGGTGGTGGCATTCTGCACCCTGGGGCAGCTCCTGGCACCTGCCGTGGAGACCCTCATCCTGCTCGACCGGCTGCTCTACTTGCGGGAGCAAGGTGGGCACGGGCACGGCCGCCAGGGCGACCCTCCCCTCCTGTTCCCTCTTTCCCTGGACCCCTGTCTGTGTTCTCAACTCTCCTTTGCCTTTTTCCCAGGTTTCCACTGTGCCCTCGTGCCCCTCTTCAACCCCCGCTTCTCCCCGAGGAACCTGGTGCTGGTGGCCGCACGGACCCCGCTGGCCACGGTGCTGGACAGGGGCGGCGAGGATGAGGATGTGGAGGAAGCAGAGTCCCCCCAGGAGGAGCAGAGCCGCCACAACCCACAATAAACGCAGGATTTTTACGCTCCGGGGCTGGGTGCGAGTCAGCGCCGCACGCCGCAAACACAGCAAATGGAGGGGGGTTTATTGCAGAGCCCAGCCCGGGGGGGCTTCCAGCTCCCCCAGTTAATACCAGTAGGATTTCTTAGCCCGGCGCGTCTCCACGATCCCCATGGCATCCATGATCTCCTCCTCGAACGTCTTCAGCGACGGCCGGTACGTCTTGGCCAGCGCCTCCTCCTCCGACGTGTCCTTGGGGCCATCTGCGCGGGCGAGGGGACGGCGCTGAGCCCCTCGGTGTCCCCCCCGGCCCCGCCGTGTCCCCCCCGGCCCCGCCGTCGCCCCGCTCACCGATCCACTGCTCGGGCACCACGCCGTCGCGGCGCGGCTGCGGCGGCACGGGCAGGATGCGGCCGCTGCGCAGCGCCACGCGCACGCGCTCGCCCTCCTCCGTGAACCTCCACTGCACCTCCGTCGGCTTCCTGTGGGCACACGGCAGGGCCGGGGCTCAGAAAACGGGAAATGCAACCTGTGCGATTCGTGCGACGCTCTCCCCTTTATTCCTGAGAAGATGGCAGTTTTTATACACTGCTATATAGTCTGATTGGCATGCTAACATTGTTTGCCTTAAGGTGGTCAGGCTTTTCACGCTGCAGTTCTACCCTAATTCACACTCCGATGGCTCATTACTTTGTAATTACCTTAACATAATTTCTAACTGCACCACAACTAAATTCTCACTGCATCAAAGGCTTCCAGGCCCATCAAGGCCGCTTATCAGGGCCTAGTCTGACTGGGGAGCTGAATTTTCACTCCAGACATAAATCATGCCCTCTTTCTCTCAGAAATTCTGTAACAACACGGGGGCAGGACTGAGCTGAGGGGTCCCCTCAGCACCCCCCCAAATCCTTACCGGTCCTCGGGGTCCACCAGGGAGATCTGGCTGAGCAGCAGCGGCGCCTCGCTGGCGACGTAGCTCCCCGAGTACTTGGCCGTGCGGTTGACGTAGCGATAGTGCTACGAGGGCATGGGGGGGTCACGGGTGGCCCGTGGGCTCCCCAGCCTCCCCACGGCCTCCCACGGCCCTCCCTGCCCCAGCCTCACCGTGTTCAGGCCTTCCACCACCACCCAGTTGCGGGCTTGCACCACCTGGGTGACCGTGCCCTGCTTCCCTGCGTCCTTCCCGGCCAGCACCTGCACCTGCGGCGGGGAGAGGGGCAGAGGTGGGACCCCGGCGCGGCCGCCAGCCCGGGGGGAGCCTGGCGAGGGGGGAGCCTCACCGTGTCACCCTTGAACACCTTCCAGTCCTCCTTGGCGATGGGCTCCACGAAAATCTTGCGGCGGC